GCTCCCCTGTGGCAACCATGGCGGTTCGGAAGCGCAGGGACGTCCTGCGGCTCTGCGCCACTGGTAAAGGCCGCGCGCGGGCGGTGGGGTGGGAGCGCGGCCCCCGCACCCCGGTGGGGTCCCGCCCGGGCGGAGCGTCTGTGGCCGCGGCTAGGGGAGGCTGCGGAGTCCGCCGAGATGTCCCCGCCGTCGCGGCTCCGCGCGGCTGAGCAGATGCCGTGCGGTCCTGGCTCCAGCGCGTCTCGGACGGAGACCAGCTCCCGACGCGGGAAGATGCGGCCGTCTTCCGTTCGAGTCTGATTCTCGGGGTGTCAGGAAGTTTCAGGAGCGCCCACCTCACTGACAGGCATGAAGGATGCCATCCCTCCAGCTAGCAGCCAGACCTGGCTTCGGCTTTAGGTTCCCAGTCTTGTCACGTCCAAAGAATTTCTACCCATTCAGGGCCTAAGAGAGGGATGCCCAGGGACAGACGTGGTCAGCTTGTCGGGCTTGTGCAGTGTGAAAAGTGTCCTGTGTGCCAGCACCAGATACCCTGGTTCGCGCTGTGGTGTGTTTCCATCTTCAGCAGCTGTTTAGTTTCCACTATGTGACACGCTCTTCTGTAATCATTAGAGGTGTAGCCGAACTTTGTTGCTGCCTATAAACTGGAAGGAAAAAACTGACGGTATTTTGAATGGCATTTTGAGTTTATACCGAAGAGGTAATTGCTGCTAGAGAGAAAGGAGATACAGAAGAATGATTTGTTTCTATTCCAGAAAGATGGAAGGGTGAAGAGGAAAAAGGATGAGAGTAAATGTATATTTAAAAACAACCTCTGTGTCTTAGATTTTACTAGCGTAACTCGCCTGTCACAACATGGTTGCATGCAGAGTAAAGATTTATTGAACACATGAAGTGTTGATGCTTTTGCATCACTTGTGCCCTGGGATGGCTCAGTGATGAATTTTTTGGTAGGCTTTAAAAAAAATCAAAAACATAGGGGACTAAGCATATAGTACGAGTCAAGTGATAAATCAGCATTTTTGATATACGTTTTGTCTTTTTTTTTTCAGTTCTTTTACTTGATATGGCTTTCTGTAAAGGATTTGTAGAAGACTTAGATGAATCGTGAGTATACATATTTTCAAATAATATCTTAACTTCTTCCAACTGTGAATATTTACATGAGTCTAATCTTTTAAGAGAGACAGTAATGACCAGTGCTTATACAGCACTAATTTTGTTCTAAAACTTGTCCTAAGTGCAGTGTATGTACAAAATGAGGTTGTGCTCAAAAGGATCTTACTGAGGTATAAGACCAAAAAAACCGTGGCAAGCTTTTCTGTACTTTGTCATTTCACCTTGTATGTGTTAGTTTTTCTGCTTGAATCGCTCCTGAGTGGGTCCAGGTATCCAGTACAGCACCACTGCGGGCATCAGAAGGCCTTCTAGCAGCTGAGTCCTGCTCCAGACCTAAACCCTGTGTGTGATCTGTCAGGCAGTTGTAAGGCTTTTCCTGGCAGGGCTCAAGGGGGGAGCCACCCTCCCACCCCAGACCTGGTGCGCAGCCAACACTCTGCAGTCTCTGGAGGATGTTGGAGTCATGCACCGGCCTCCTGGGCCAGCCATGCTCCCACGTCTGCATTCCTAGCCCAGTTGCCTTTTTGGGGGGCCTCACCTACGGCGTTTCCTAGGCACCTCTCCTGAGACTTCCTTATTGAGGGGCTTAGCTGAGGCACTTTTCTCCTCTAGGACTCAGTGCCTTTCTCCTCCTGTCCCGTTCCCCTCTCCTCCCCTCTGCTCACGGGGGCACAAGGAGGCAGAAGCCTTCGGTTCCGTGCTCCTCAGCAGTGCCGCGCTTCCTGTCTGTGCCAGCCCACCTGACCTATGCCTGGTGCCGTTCTGCTTGGGAAAATAGAAGCTGAGGAGCTGGCACCTGGTGTGCCTCTCGGCTTGCATTACTGCAGGAAGTGAATAAAGCCTTGTCACTCTCAGCTTGGCTTGTCCTAAACAGCCACCTCAGCACAGCGGAGCTGGCGTAGCAGCAGGGCGGTTGGTGGAGCGCGGTGCTGCGTGGATGAAGGGGTGCGTGGGGGCCCTGCCAGCACTTCGCCAGCCATGCCATCGGGGGTCGGGGACTGCTGGCGGAGTGTTTGTGGACACTGTTTGATTCCAAGGGGAACCATTGTCAGCAGGGTCGTAACCTCATTATGCTGTGTCGCTGTACATGTCCTCCTTTAGAGTGTCCTAACAGCGGTGACTTTTCCTGAGGAGGCTGGGGATGAGCAGACACCCAAGACCCTCACCTTCCTCAGCTGGGTGCTCTCTGGACCCTGACAGATGTGACCCACCATCGTGAGTTTCCTGTCACCGAAAACCACGTCTGGTCCCCCTCACAGAGGCTGTAGAGCCCCTGCCAGCCATCCCAGGGATCCCTTCGGTCTGCGCTGAGGGGTTAAGAATAGTTCATAATGAAACTAAACCAGACGCGGATTTCTAAGTGTGTCCTCACTGCTCCTGCCTGTTACCAGACCCTGTTAAGTCTCCTCAAGAAGTCAGCTCAGTTGGTCTGTGACACAGTCCAAGTCTTAACTGACAAATTTATGGGTATGGGAAAAGCAGCCACCACAAGAGAGCAGAGACGGACCAGCACAAAGAGTGACGTAGGAGTTGGAGCTGGGTGCCTTCTCTAGGATGACCTAGACGAAAGGCTTTCAGAAAAGATATCCAGGTCTGGTTCCTCAGTAATAGGGTCCCAAGGGAAGAGATGGATAGGCACCTCACCGTGGGCCTGATGGCCACAGTCCAGGCCATGAGAGGTCTGATAGGTGGTCCCACTAGGGACCACAGGACAACCCCAGTGACTCCTACAGATGCTGTCCTTCCATCCTGCTCAGTGAGTCTGGAGACGAGTCAGAGCGCCCTGGAACAGGTGCCCAGGCCCTGACAAGTTGTTAGGGTGAGGCTTCTCCGTCTCCTAGTGAGGCAGAAGGTCCTATGCCAAGGTCAGAGCTCACTAGGGAAGTGGGGCAGAATTGCACTTGTCAGGCCTTGTGGATTCAGTGCACAGGTGAGTGTAATCCCTACAATCCAGGATGAGGAGGAGACATAAGATGCCCTCCGGTCTTGAGTCTGGTAGCCACTATGAGCACCCTGGCCCAGGCCGGCTTCGGTGAGAACTTTCGGGCCCCTCCTTCTGAACGTGCTGTTGGGATGGACGTGGAGTGTGTGTGCACTCCCGCTCGCCTCTGTCCCCTAGCCCCAGTGGGAAGCGCTGCAGTCAGGGCCATCTTAGTGGAGCACGTGGAAGACTATGAACCTATCCCAGCTTCTAGTGCCATCATCTCCCAAAAATAATAGGGGCGGCCTGCAAATAAGAGAAATGACTGTCCTGAGTGCCGAGCCGGAGGGACCCGAAGAGCCCTGTGGACTGTCTCATTCAGCAGCCCTGTCCAGCTTCGCCCAAGGCCTGGGTGCTGGGAGGCTCGCTGTCAGTTACAGGTAGCTCAGTGCCCTGGGGCTGCTCTTGACACTGGTGGGGCCTGACTTTAGGAAGAGGCACCAAGGGGTGCCCAGTCTGGGGCAGTGGACATCACAAATGCTTTTTTCAGGTTTCTCCCCACTAAGCTGATCAGGATCAATTTCTTTCATGTGTGACAGATTCGGCACAGTTTAATGTCCTCCTACGAGGCTGTCTAAATCTCACCCATGTGCCATCAGTGGGTAGCTCGTGGTCTGGAAATAGGCCTGCTTAGGTGGGAGCATTGGCCTTCCCCTATATGGATGACAACTTCCCAGAGGACCCAGACGAGGGCAGGGCCCAGCAAGGGCTGGACACCATGGCAACATGGCTGAGCTGTTCCTACAAACCAGGTACAAGGACCTAGTGCCCGACCGAAATGCCTGGGCATGACGTGGGAAGCAGTACAGCATCTCATTCCAGATGAGATTGCTACCAAACTTTTGGCCCTTTCTGACCCAAAAAATAGAACAGAGGCCCAGGAATTGACGGTCCAGTTCAGCTGCTGATGCTGCCACCTAACCTGTGTGGGGATCTTGATAGCACCTATTATCAGGTTACCAGAAAGGCCACTGCCCTTGAGTGGGGCCCCAGCGAACAGGACCACCAGGCCCCCAGTGGGCCACCAGGCCTCTTCTCCCTAGACCCCAAGGACCTACAGTTTACTGATTGTGGCCTATGGCAGAAGGACAGTACCACGGGCCCGCATGAGCCCATGAGCTCCCCAGGTTGACTGAAAGACATACACCATTGAGAGGCTCTGGTTGGGCCTCGGTGGACGAGTGCAGTAGGATCACAAGCAGAATTCCAGCCACGCCGCTGAACAGGGACGGCTCTGGAATCTGGTGAAGTGGAAATGACACACACGGGTCCCAGCTGGAGTCTCACGGACGGCCCCACGAAGAGGCATAACTCTCAAGGAGCCGCCTCTGGACCACCCCTGAGCCGGGTTCACTGATGGCGCCTCCCAGCTACATTGGAATGGAATTGGGTGTGGCCCCCGTCCATCCCGAGAGAGACCTGTTCTTCAAGCGTGGCAGAGGACCTTCGCGCAGTGGCGCCCCCATGCGTTGTGGTGGACTACAGTTATCCGCCCCGTTGGCCTCTGCCGCGCACTCCTCGCTCCAGCCCCAGCATGTGAGCACAGCTGTGTTTTCACTGACTCGGGGCTGTGGCTCGTGGCTTGGCCGTTTGGTTGTGTGGCATATGAACAGACGAGACACTTGGTGAAAGAGTGGTTCTGCTCCCAGTGAGAGTTTTGTGACTTACGTGGATGCTTACCAGAAAGGCCCCTATTCTGACAGGAGGATGTAACTAAGGAGCGTATCCTGCTTATCAGCTCAGCGCAAAAAAGGAATTGTTCTTCAGTCCAGAGCAAGCACACGTGCAACAGCCGCCTCCTGCATCCACGAGAGGATGACCTGTGGAACTTCAGATACTGTCCTACATTGGGCTGATGTGCACGGACCGACACTGCTGTAAGAAGACCCCAGAAGAGCATGAAAAAGCCATTGCGCTTGTCAGACCGTGGATCGGGCTAAGAGTACTCCCCAGGAGCAGTTCGCTTCCAGTGGGCCAGGGCCTCCCAGCAGTCAACACACTGGGCCCCACATCCCACCCAGAGCCTTCCCCTGGATACTGATCGCAGTTGACACTTACTCTGGATTTGGCCTGGCCATCCTCATGCATACACTGATTCGGGCCACATGTCCAGACCCTGCGGGAACACGGTTTCCTGTCATGCCCCCTGAGAACTCTGCATCTGATGACAGCCCTGGGTTTGCAGCGCAGGCTACCCATCAGGGGCCCGGTCAAGGGGCGCACAGTGGACTCTCCATGCTCCCTGTCACCCCTAATCCGCAGGGGTGGTTGAATATTTTAATGAACAGTTAAGTTAAAGGACAGGCTTAATAAACTGTTGGGAGGGGACAAGATTACTCTAGCCTGGATTACACATCTCAGGCCAGCAGTCCAGGGTCCCCTGGGTGGTACTTTTCATTAGTACTGCGTGTTTGACCAAGGTGTCTGCTGGCCACCTTCAGTTGTACACCCTTTTACAAAACGGGAGCAGAGCTTAAAGATTTGGATTCACCAGTGTAGAGGATTGACCGAGGGCGCTGTTTTTGTCCACGGCACAGAACAGAATGTCGCAGGTGGAGAGATGTGAACACCTTGGGACCTGAGAGCTCATAATGGAGCTGTGCTCTCTTGGCCTTCACTGTAGGTTTAAGAACCTTATGACGATACCTACCCCTTCGCTCGTGTCTGCCTAACTACCTAACAATTTGTTTCCTTGTTTTCTGTTTTTTAGGTTTAAAGACAATCGAAAAGATGACATTTGGCTTGTAGATGTGAGTATGAATTTTTTCTACTAATTAACCACCTCTACCAGTTTAACTTATGTTCTCCAGCCAGATATATCCAGTTAGTACTTACGTATTTTACTCAGTTTGTTTTCTCTGAAAGTACTCTTTGGGTTTTTATATTAAAATGAATCTCAGAGCCTATGGTTCCTAACAAGAAACATGGTTTTGATGAAATTCTGATGAGGTTGCCTTGTGAATTATTTCTGAGGAAGATTATGGGATGATTTTATTATAGAATTCACCCTTGCTTTTTAATATTATCCAAGAGATTGTATGAATTAATGTCACTTGACAGTCAAAATCATATTTCATCTTAATAGTAAACAGAGGAACAATTTTCGTCTTCCTTTCCTCACTTGCAAATCTGGGATGTATTTAAACCTTATGGTGTTTGAGATCCATGTTAACGTGCCTCCATACAGAAAGCAGACTGGCAGCAAAAGAGAGGGCATAACAGTGGCAGATTGACAGTTGTCAAAGCCAGGCAATGGGGCATGAAGGCCCGAAGTTTAAATCTCTCTCTTTCTGTGTATGTTTGATCATTTCCATAGTATAATGTTGAAAAATAGATGTCTTATTTCCTTAAAATACAACGAGCAGGTTGTTATTCCATTTAACTAGAGGTGCCTAATTACTGCCCCAGCCATCTGGTGTTGAAAGAGGAAGAACTGTGGTTTTAGTTTAATCAGCCTGACTTGTCTTTCTGCCAAACGTTTGTCAACTTAATGATCTGCCACGTCTTACCAACGGTTACACGTAAAGTAGCAAAGGCACCTACTTTGTTGGAATTTTTATAGTAGAAATAGATTGATGTTTATCATATACACGTAAGGGGCGTGTCCGTGTACCTAGTGGTCTCGTGTATAACATGGACACACTTAGAAGCAAAGATGTTTTTATCGTAAATCATAGATCTGTTTTAAACAGTTATTAGTAGTCATTTCAAATGAACTCAACAGTAGTGTCCATGTTGCATTACCTGCTAGGAGTTAACCTATCTAGGCTTGCATGTGTCTTATTACATAATCACTTCGAAAATTATATTTAGGTCTTCTGTCTAAAACAGATTATTATCAGATTATTCATTCGAAGAAATTCTTTAAACATTAAGCTTGATCACCACAGTAGCACAGCATTTTCATGGTTGTCTTTTTTTTTTTTTTTTTTAACAAGTTTTATGCACCATGGTGTGGTCATTGTAAAAAACTGGAACCGATTTGGAATGAAGTTGGTCTTGAGATGAAAAGCATGGGTTCTCCAGTTAAAGTTGGAAAGATGGATGCTACTTCCTATTCTGGTAAGTATTTATTTACTCAGTTTATTACTTCACTGTCCTCGTAATGAAAATGTTTTAATTATGCAAAGCAGCATTCAAGGTAAGAGGAAGAGATACATATTTTTTTGCTCATGTAAAATTAAAGTTGTCTTAATTTAAGACTGTGCTTTATGAGTTAAATGAATTAACCATCGACTGTGTAACATGTGGTGTATGTTAATGTAAGCTATTGTTCCTGCTTTGAGCCCACCTGAGAAAATCAGCACCTGAGGCGGCTACAGAAGCGTGAGTGGCAAACCATCAACGTTGCCGTGGGAGTTAAGAACGAGAGAGTGTCTGAGCGCTCTGCGATGGCGTGGTGGTGGAGAAAGTGGGAATCTGAAGGATGAGTTGCGTTAGGACAAACACAAGTGAGGGTCAGGAAAGTATTCACATTAGAGAGACTGTTAAAGCAGAATCCTAGAGCAGGAAATGAGCGTAAACAAGTACTTGCGGGGGAGCAGACCGTCTTAGAGCAGAGGCGGAGGAGATGCAGCCACTCCCCGTGTTTGTAGATAGAGCCCCAGGGGACGCAGCCACGCTCGTCCGTTAGCTGTCGTCCGGGCCTGTTCTCCTGTTCCCGTGGCTGAGTTGAGCAGTGGTAGCGGACACTGTATGTCCCACAAAATATTTATTTATGATCCCTTACAGAAAAGTTTACTAATGCCTGTCCTAAGGGATTCGAGGAAAGACAAGTATGAGGTATTTTTAGCGTGACTTCGGAAAGCCAACCTGCGTTCACATCCTGGCTCCGCCCGCTCCTGTCGTGTATCGCACCAGGAAGGTTTCTTCACGTCTCTAATTTCTACACTGGTCCATGTTTATGGTAGCGGCTCTTTCATCGGTGGTTTTGAGATTTCAGTGATACAACACATGTAAAGTCCCTTGTAGCATTCAGCAATGCAGGTTCCCTGTTTCTTAATGAGTAGGTGGAAGTGTGTGGTGTGACTTCCATTTTGAGAAGTCAGCATTGTGCTCTGGGTACGACTCAGGAAACAGACCTGTGTCTTCATTTCAGCTCTGCCGTGCCCTGTGGCTTTGGGGAAGTGCCACAAAATACCATAACTTCAGTTTCCTTGTTTGTAAATGGAAGCGTGGTGTAACCTTCCAGGTTGTGAGGATTGTATTAATATTTCCAAAACCCCTAAGACAGTGGTTCACACATGTAGGGTGATAGTGATAGTGCCATAATTTAACGGCCTCTCAGGTGGGAAAAAGTGTTCTGGATTTTATCTGTTGTTAGTTGAGAGGCAATGCATATTTTTGAGTAGGCAAGTAATTTGAAAAAATATTTTTGGCAGCAACGTGTACGATGGAAAGAGCAGAGACAAGACAAGCCTCTAAGTCAACTTTCGTGTGCATCTTGGGGGAAGATGCTGGAAGCCCAGACTTGGGTGGGTGGCAGTGGAGCAAAGAGGAAACAGTGATCCTTACAGATAGTTTCAAGGGTGAAATCACAAGTGAGATGGATCAGCTCTGTGATGTGAAGAACGATCGAAAATAATAGTGTAAGTTTCTTAGTGTAGTTACCGAGCTACGCTGCCGCTGGTTATATGGAAAATAATAACTTTGATTTTGTGTGCGTTTTCATGAATTCGTTGTATTTTGCTTTGTAGATGTTTGGAAATAGGGAACTAGAGTATAAGATGTTAGAGCTGGAGTTACTGAGTCACAAACGAATTGTTGAAACTTGGAGAGGAGGAGAGATCAATAGCAGGAAGTTGCTATAAAGGGAGAATAATATGCTTGAGTTGATACTTCTTGCAATAAGCTTTTAACAGTGTTAAAGAAATTATTCAGCTGTTGCTCATGAAAGTAAATTATTGTGTTTAGGCATATGTGTTGATTAGATATGCATGTACATATATTCATTCATATACTCCATTCATAGTCAATATTTACTTAACTACTATTTGTCAAGCCCTGTACTAGTCTCTATAGATTAAAGAACCAGAAGAAATCCTCTTTGTCATGGAAATCCTGACAGTGTAATAGAGGGAGAAAGAAGAACTAAGCAACAAGTGCAATAAAGTCTTAAACATGGCACATTCTCGTGACCAGTTGAATTATCCTGCGAAGTAATAGTAATTTATAAAGGAAAGTGGAGTACAGAGATAATCGATAAAAAGAGTATCTATAAATCAGTAAAAATCTTAACGGTGAACTACTCACGCGATGCTACAGTGATAATCAACCCTTTACATAAAGTCAAATTTTATAGAATGTAATTCATTAGCTTAATATTCAGTATATGTTATGTGCCCCTATGATTAGGGAGAAAAATAACCAAGACTGTTTTCCTAAGTAGTTTAGAGAGGAAAGTATTTTAAATGCTGTGACTTAAAAGCAATGTTCTTATAGGTCTTAGCTTTTTACAGACTTTACAATGGGACTTAATCATTTTATTTTCATAAACCATTAAGAGGTTTAAATTTCACCTGTGGTGTCATGATCATAATAGATTTTATTTCTTTTTCACTTAGCATTTTGTTATCTGTTATGTTGAATTAATAGCAGAGAACTCTGTAGAGCTTGCAGTGTATGAAACATGTCGTGTAACACATCTCAAGCAAGCGTCTAGCTTTGGGCAGGGAAAGGGGCGTGCTGTATGCCGAGGACCACTCCGCCAAGCGTTGTGATGGTGCTTCATACAGTTTCTGTCCTTTACTCCATGGATGGGGACCAACAAACCCCCTCCACCCCCTCTCCCAGCCTGCACCCAGCCTGCATGGTGATACCTGCCTGTAAATCCTGTGACTACTCGAATCATACAAATCATTCAGCAGGCATTTAATGAGCACTTACCATGTGCCATGATATGCCAGGCATGATCTGGGCATCGGTGATTACACTAGTAATAAAACAAATGTTTCTACTCTTACGGAATGTATATTCTAGTGGGAAAGACAAACAGTAACCAGTGAACATAAGTAAATTGGTGTTATTTAATGTCGATGTTAGTGGTAGATGCATTTTCTACTTTATTACGTAGTCAAGGAGATGTTCTATGTGCTATGGAGAAAAGGATATTGTCTTAATATTTAAAAAAAGTTGATAAGTGTTTAAAATCCACTGTCTAGAGATTACAAATAGATTTTTGGCATATAAGTCTTAAAGGTCCCTTAAATTCTTCAAGGCAGTTCCGGTACAGGCATTTGAGTAGAGCTTGGAATCAGAAACGTAAAGAAATTGAATTTCTTTTTCAAGCTAGCTGCCAACGAAATTCTATGTCTAACTTTAGAATACTAAAGAATTGGCTGTTTCCTGGGTATCTCTTCCATCCCTTAGGTCACTTTATAGGCTGTCACAGAATCAGTGTTTCTCAGCATTTAGTCTTCATACCACCTGCATTAGGATTACTTGGGGCACTCGTATAAATTCAGATTCCAAAGGCCATAACAGCCCTACCAAATGAAAATTTCTGAGACTGGGTCATGAGAATGTGTTTCTACATGGACTTCAGGTGATTCTGCTGCACGCCTAAGTTGGAGAATCTCAAAGTATTATTGTAATGGCTAGTTATTTACAGGGCTTTGCTTTGGGGTGGGATGAGATTATTCAGTGATCAAGTATAGAAAATTTCTTATAGAGTGTTGGAGAATGGCTTATTTCTAATCATGTAATTGCAGAGATTAGAAGCAAATATACTCAGTGTATACACTGTGCGTAGAATTCTTGAACTGGAGAAATTCGAACTATTGTGACATCCTGTCCTGTGTGCTTGGAATTGTACCAAAAATTTCTTGATGCATGGTATTAACTAATAATACTATAACCAAATAACATTAAAAAATGTATGTTTAACGTAAATTTAGATATGTATTTTATCTTCTCTTTTTGTACATATCCCTTCAAAAATGAGTGCTAAAATTGTGTTTCATTTAGAAGTTATTATATTACCTGTAATGATGTATTGATTTTTATTATGAAACCATTGAAATTGTGTATTCCTCAACCTAAGTTTGGCATAGTTTTATGGTAAAGATCATTTTTTACCTCTTCTCGATGTATAAACTCATCATGACATTTGGCCAATAACAGTCTTATTCCAATTCTTTGCTCACAGATTATATTTAAAAACTAATTTTATCTTCTATACTCTAAGCCCTTTGGTCGGTGACTTGGAGCTGTCGGCAGTTGGGGCCAGAGAATCATGCCCTGTGGGAGAGATGGTTCCACGCACTGTGGAGCGGCGTCCCTGGCCTCTAGCCACGAGATGCCAGTTGTACCCTCCCCGCCCCACCAAGTCTTAGCAGCTGGAAATGTCTCCGGACGTTGCCAGGTGACTCCTGGAGGGCAGAGTCCCCCCACCTGGAAATCACTGCTCCACTGTTGTCCCTTTTCCCGTCAGACACGCAGCGCCACCAAATACTAAGAAGAGTAGTACTTTTGAGCTGACGGGGACTTCAGATTGAGTTTAGCTCCCTGTCCTGCCCACCGTCCCGTCGTACAGATGAAGGACACAGGGTAGTTAGCGGGGGAAAGACTGGGGAGTTTCAAACAATAGACTTACAGGCGGAAGCAGAATGCGGCCCAGAATCCGAGCTCGCCGCCATTCACCCCCACGCCAAGCCTCTACCACCAGCTGGTACCACTTCAGGGAGAAAACGGAGGTGGAATAGGGGACTTCACGTTTCACCTCCATTCACGAACATGTAAAATGACAAAACTTCAGGGCAAGTTATTCATTTTACAGATAGATTCTGTAGTTTGTAAAGACGATTGCTCACAGGTTTCTATACAAACCATTCTCTAACATAAAATAATAACAAAAAAAAAATTAAACTCAGCCCTGAGTTTCAGTGTCAGGCCTGCTGCCTGATCGGCGCTTGCTCGCGAGTTCCCACATCTTCTTAAGTATTAGTATCGTTATCTGAAAAACAACATGAGCACACTTTCCGCCCCGCAAAATGGTTTCGAGGTGTAGTTGAAGGTATATTACGGCCAGTTATGAGGCATTCTGTACGTGCTGATTCTTACCACTGTTACCTACGTTGGCGTGTCAGCAGATAACTACTTAATATCAGGATCAAGAATAGAGAGGAAAGGGACCTAGCACTTGAGGGTCTCCATGTGCCAGATTGTCTGTTCAATTCTTTTTCACACGTTTCCTCGTTTTAAACTCTCCCCCAGCAGGAGAAGTTGGAATCCCATCCTGGGTCTTTAACTCATGCTGTCCTGGGGCGCTTTTTTTCTTATACACCCGGTTGCCTCTAGGGAAACCTAAATTTGAAGTTCAGGAGCCACTGTCAGTTGCAATTCTGTCAGAAATGAAGGTTCATGCTCAGGGAGCTGAGGGACTACCGCGTGGGTGGCGGTACACGTCCCCGTCTGACAGACGTGAAGGCCAAGGTCAAGGAAGTCCGTGCTGGGATTGAGTGTCTTAGTGAGTGATGGCGTCACGTTTCTCTTGGAAGCCTGTTGTGAGGAGCACAGCATCAGGCTATAAAGTACCACCACTGTCTTCCCATTGATTACATACTCCATTTTTTTTTAGTTTGATTTTCACATCAGTAAATTTTACACAAAATTATATAAAGAGTTGTTAATGGGATGTACTCTCCTCTCCAGTCAGTCATAAGTTTTGGCAGTTTTTCATGAGTCGTAGTCGAAGGTCATGAGGGCTCGTATTCTCCTGCCCCTTAGTTTGGGATAGGAGGCATTAAGAACATTCTTCACTCACATAATCTCCCCCAAATCCTTTCTGTGAAGACCACCTCTGTAACAGCAGTCTTTAATTAGACTACATTTGACAAATTAAGTCCTAAATTAGAGATGGGCACAAATGAATTATGTAATTGGCCTAAGTTCACATGACTATTCAGAGGCAGGACCTATATGTTTAGAACCTGAGTTCTTATTTTTGTTACCTCTGCTATTTCTGTTGCCTCTAATAAAAACCAGGTCGATCATTTTCCAGTCCCCTCTCTCTGTATATTTAAGGGAGAACCTCTGGAGTTGACAAAGAAAGGCAGAGAAATTTTGGATGTTATTTGTCACAATTTCTCTTTGTCTTTATTCTTGCATATTGGTGGGGAGTGTTTTGAAACCCAAGATTAATGATTACTGAAGTGATTGGTGAACCAGAACCCATGTATACAAGTAGTGTCCTTATACCTAACTGTGATAAGGAAATATCCTGGAAATGAAGAAAATTAACAAAGGGAGAGATCATGTGAATAAATACGGTTTATTTATAGTTGTGTAAATATGTTTTATATTGTCTTTTAAGTGGGAATATTTTTTCTTTTTTGTCCTAATTGCCTTGAAGCTGTAAACTAATACAGTATTAATTTGCTATTTTGATTTCTATAATTTTTAGTCCTGTTTGCTTTTGTTATTATTTCTTTCCTTCAAAAAAATGCCATTATGGCAGCTGCGTCTCATTTTAATGCAAGGATTTGAGAATAGTCTTTGTGACGTTTGGAATTATTCTAGGTTATTATAAAAAAAAACTTTTAAAACAAGTAGATAAAGTTGCTTTTAGACCATTAACTATAAAAATTAAATGATTTTGCAGATACAGTTTGTTTTTTAAATTAAAATGTAACGCCGTTCTTTAAAGTCTCAGAAGACATTAAAGGAGGAAACGACTTTTTTTTTTAAGAAATATTTGTCCTGGAAATGAATTCAAATGAGAAATGAGACTTTATTTATATATGTGTGTATGTATACCTTTTTTTTTTTTAACAAGAATGTCTTTTTAAAATTAGTACTTTAGAGATAAAATTCTAACTATTCTTTTGACATTTTTTTATGTTGTCATACATAGTATTTTGTGCAGCCCATAGGTTAGATTGTTAAGTGATTATTTTGTATGAGAATGTTATGTTCGTTTGTTAGCGTTTATTCTTTTTAGACTTAAAAACAACATATCTCTGAGTTTGTGTAAATATGTTGATATATTTTTTAAATAAAAGGCTCATTTATTACTCAGTTTCTCAATTTTTTAAAAAAATTTAGAATTATTTATTCTTTTTCTTATCAAGGCATTGCTTCAGAGTTTGGAGTTCGAGGTTATCCAACAATTAAGCTGTAAGTTGAGTGTCGTATGTTTATATGTGTATTTTTATTAGTTCACTCTACTTACGTTTAATCACATTAGTTTCTAGTAGCTTCCTTGGAGGATTGAAGATTTGAGTTCAGCAGTTCTTTCTAGGTGCACTATGTGGTCAGAGGAAAAGGGGCTGCATCTTTATGCTTTTCTTTGTATTTAAGTACATGTGTTGTTTATGGCTGATTCACTACATGTATTTTGAGTGCTGTGTGACGGGCACTGTGCAGAGCAAGGTATGAAAGGTCTTTTATTCTTGAGTTCGAGACTATATTCTGCTTTGTCATGTGAATCTTGTCTCCTAACAAAGTTTACTTTTCTATAATTGTAATAAACATTTCATCAGAGAGGAAAGAAACAGAGAATCAAATTTATGGATGTTAACTCTGATTTGTACGTGTCGAGCAAGTCTAATATATAGCGCATAAGCTGGAAGAAATGGTGTGATAATTCTAAAGGGCTTAGTTTATTTTGTAATCGTGATTTTACTGAATTTTCTTAGGAGCTTCATCCATATCCTTATTTTGGTAATGTAAGGAGTTGAATCATTTTCAAATTAATTTTTATAATGTTTTTATTTTAATATTTTAAGATCTCAAATTTCCAAATTTGAGTGATTTAAATTTTTTGTTTAATGGGTTTTGTGTTGACTTTCCCCCACTTTTTAAAAATATTTGCTAAACCTCTTCTATTTTCTTGTGTTAAGTAAATTATCCTTTCCATTCTTTCTGTTTAATTATAAACGTTCTATTGTGCTTTCACAATTTTTTTTTTAAATCCCAGTTGGACACATAATTCATTGGCAGGCTTTTGGAAAATACCTAATTTTCTAGAGTAGGTGTTCTTATGCATTGTTTTACTCTAAGCTTGGAGCATCTGTCAAGTTGCTAAGATGTCGTATTGTTTAAAATTTGTTTTACCTCTACCAAAATATTTTCAATTTCCTGTCCTTTTACTTACCTTTTAAAAAAAGAAGAGGCGAGAATTATAATGTTTTGACAGGCTCTTGACCATGAATGTGTAGGTTATTTATTAATTAGAAGGCATAGATGCATGTAGCTATCAAATACAGAGTAAAATATTTTCATGTAATTTTAATAAAATACAGCCTTTTTCTTTATATTTTAAGTCGTCTGTCTTCTGAAGCCAGCTGGCTACATTTCATGTAGTTATGATACTTCTAAAACACCTCTGCATTGACTATCTTACATACTGTAATTTTTATAATAAAGCGATCAACATTAAATATTAAAACAGTTGAAATAATTCAAGCTTTTTTCCTTTTTTCTCTTTAAGATTAAAGGGCGACTTGGCATATAATTATAGAGGACCACGAACTAAAGATGATATTATTGAGTTTGCTCACAGAGTATCTGGGTAAGTTTTACTAGGAAAGACCTTTACTGTATGATATTAATATTTAAAAATTAAATGTACTTTAGTAGAATGTTATTCAACACACATATTTTTAGGGACTTAACCTAAATAAAATTTGTCTTTATGAGAAAAGATAAGATTACATAGCATATATAAAGAGATCCTTTAAAAAAAAAAAAAAAACAAGGATTTTTGATTTGTATTATAGACTTCTTAACCTCACATTTAAATTCATTTAGTGTATAGAAGAATTTTCCCTATTTTTAATAATACATTTTCAAAATTCGGTTACTTCTAACAACCTTGTGAATCTTAATTTTTCTTTTATCATTTCGATTTTGTACTCCCTGGTTTAGATTGTTACCTAATTTCATCAGAGTTTAAGAGAAACCCCACAGTATTAAAAGCCCAATAGACTTGGGCTTTTAATCCCTAGCCTGTGTACTGGAAAATGCTTTTTAGATGCAGCTAAAATACTTCCCCTGATCTGTCACCCTCTGCTTTATGCCTTCTGTGAGGTATTATTGCACATTTTGCTTAGGATGTGACATAATTAGAACCCAGAGATCTATTTGAGTTACAGATCTCTGAAGTTTTACTGATAAGGAAACAGATTCTTCTATAAGCATGTCCTGTGTATTTGAATGCAGTGATTTTGTTTTTTTAATCTACCTCTTGCTCGGTTATAAAGAACATTGGTGTTTATAATTATGGAAATGATTATGTGCATCTTTTTGAAGAGAACATTCACATAGATAGGTTAACTTATATTGACTTTGAAGGTAAAAGGGGTCAGATATGTGGTGACAGAAAGAAATCTAACTACGTGAGGTGAACACAATGTAAATATATATATGCCTTACTGTTAATACATACAGCTGAAACTTATCAGTTGCATTAACCAGTGTCACCATAAAATAAATAAAAAAATTTTTAAAAGCAGAAAAAAGGAAAGTATAGGCACTTTCTTATGAATTTGACAGGATATATTCCGTGATACCTTTAAATAGCTTTAATATAAATTGAAATATGGAGTTCTTGGGTGGCATGATACCAGTTGGTTTGAATTATTTGAGAAAAGACACAGTTAGGAATGAGCTTTATATATTAAAATTTGCAAAGCTTGTTAATATAATTTTCACTGTATTTTCTCATTGTATACTACATTTTCTCTATTCTGTGAATTAATAAATTTTGAGATACCTTTAAATTATATGAGAGGATTGCTAGAAGGATGTACTTTATTCCCCCATAATTTAGGTTAGCCTTTATGTTTTGGCAATTTTTAATGAGGTCTAGTTTAAGGTTAGGAAGGGTTTCCCCCGACGTAACTAGGGGTGACTCGATTACAAACGGAATTTCAAGAGTCCATTCTGAAGTTGCATCACTTACCAGTTAATTACCAAAGTAAAAATAAGAACTGGAATAGAGTGATGCAACACATCTAAAGAGTTGTGCATTTTGAAAATATGTTTGCCCTTGAAAAATATCTTTTGTTCTTTTTGCAAAATTGGTGGAGTAAGAATTTCATACGCTACATTTTTTAAAAGACTTTCTTCTTTTAGTTTTTTTAATAGTATTTTGTAAGTGATATATTTTGTAACAACCTTTGACGTTAATTCATTTCTGAGTCTGTTTGGCTTTGAAATATGCTTATATAATAAAATCTTTGTATTGTTATTATCAGTTTCTAATGTACTATTTCGACTACCATTTTTTATTTTTCCTGAAAGGAAAACATACTTATGAAACATTTCAGATTTTAACCTCTATTGGGTATTTTAAAACTACGAATCATTTAAATGGGGATAGAGTAAGACATAAATATTCTTGACATAGTATTATACACTCCTGGGATAGTATTTCACAGTGTGTTTGTGTGAATGATCTTTTGAAAGGAAGAAAAAAATAATTCTCATGTGGATTATTTTGTTTTTGCTGAAGAGTCTAAACAGATGTTTTCGCCTATCAAAATATTGGCTAAGATGATAGTACTCTCTAAAGGGATGTATTTGAAATTTAGTCTTTAAACAGAGATTAAATTGTATTTTTGTTATATGGATGTAATAGTGGCCATGGCCCACAGTTTGATAAGATTTATGTGAATTGGGTGATACATTTAAAATGCAGTTAATAAAACATTTAAACTTTATGACCTTGGACACGATAGGCTGACACATGAATAAGAGTAAATAAATTGTGCACCGTCTTTAGGTCAAATGCAAGTTTGTTTTCGGTTTGTGTTGCTTTTTCTCTTTTTTTTGATTTGGTTTGGTTTGAATTGTGATAAGCTTAACACAAAGCTTATCACCGTATCAATTGGACATGTGCCGTTCAGCAGTGTTAAGTGCATTCACACAGTCACGTGTGCATGTGTGGCAGTTCAGCAGTGTTAAGTGCATTCGCGCAGTCACGTGTGCGTGTGGTTTCCCATCAGGGCCCTGATCCGGCCGCTGCCCAGCGCGCAGATGTTCGAGCACGTGCGGAAAAGACACCGTGTATTTTTCGTTTACGTAGGTGGGGAGTCACCTTTGAAGGTATCAACGATTTTATTTTTTAATCCAAAAACATAGGCGTATTGTAATTTAATGTTCTGCATAGTCACAGCCTCACTAAAGACTCAGAATTGCTTCACTCTTATCGGAGATAATTTAGTTCAATCTAATTTGGAAATTTTTATAATAAAAATACTTTCTCAGATATAGTGTTTGCCTTTATGAAATAGAGTGAATAAAAAGTAGGTAGATGGTGCCTGCTTTTGTATTTCTTCTATTATTGATCTGGTCGTTTAAATTTTATATTGCTTTTTTGCATTGTGAGTCTTTGAGACCACAAAATGCATTTGAATGTAAAATTTTTAAGGGAAAAGATCATTGTCTTAAATTATTGTACAAATATGTATGTGTGTATACACACATCTTCCTTTAATCAAATTAAAATACACTGAGCTTATGCTATATTTAACAAACTATTTAGAGAGGTGTGAAAGCACTTGGTTACAGTGGTCTTTTGCTTTAGAAGTAGTTTATTGCATTTGCTTAAATTTCATCTTTTCACATAAAAGGACTTAAGGTAGAAAATTGTAATGAAACTGCTTAGTGATGATACCACTTGCACTGAATGTTTAATGAATGTTTAATGAGGAATGAATTTGGATCTTAATATTTAAAAATCACCTTTTTTGTTTGCATTTTCACAGGAGAAATACATAGATGCTGCTTCCGAATTAATTGTATATACATACTTCTTTTCTGCCTCAGAAGAAGTGGTTCCTGAGGTAATATTTAAAATTGAATTTTAATGACAATTTCATTTTTCTAATTATTACTTGATTTTATCGGATTTATTGTCACTGTGACATGTGTGGAAACAGTAAACGTAATAACTCTGAGGGCCCTAGGTTGCTTATTATTAATAAGCAAACGTCACCAGGTTGATAGCATTAGGGCTTCTTATTATTACAGTCATGCTTTTTTTCTCTTTAAAATAATAACAGTAGTGAATGGTGATACCTCATGCCCTCAGTTGGTTTGTAAGTAGTGGATTTGCTTATATACATATATTTATATAAATTAAATAGCGACTTCCTATCCCCTAGTCATGTGCCACACACTATATTAAGTCCTGGATGGGCGACAGGTGAGACAGTCAGGATTCTGATGGGATGGAGCCGACGTTCTCACAGGTGGAGGGAGCGGACTGAATTTAGTGTTACGGGTGAGGTCTTCTGTTAGGTCTTCAGAGTGAGATAGTAATCCTCAGTAAACAAGTCTATAAACATATCATAACTGCTATGAAAAAACATAAAGGAGTACTGCGTTAGTAGGGACATTTACAGTTGAGGTGGCTGCTCTGGATTCGTTGGTCAAGAAATGTCCATCTGAGAAGATAATGCCTGAACTGGGACTTCTGTGACATGCAGGAGCCTGCAGAGCTCTGTGGCCAGAGCAAACCAGAATCAGGGAAGTGATACTGCCGTGCATGCCCAAGCCGAGAGCGCGCCTGGCATATCTGAAGAGCAGAGCGGCAGGCCAGTGTGGCCGTGATGCAGTGAGAGGGGAAGTCGGAGGCGGGCAGAGGCCCTGGAGGCCATGGCCGGCGCGCGTGAGCCGGTGAAGCTGGTGAAGGACTGGGTGTTGAGTTTATTTTAAGGACATTGGTCTGGACGAAGTGCAGAATGAATTGGATCGGCATTTAAGTAGGTCTGGAGACATGAGTTGAACTCTTGAAGTAACACAGGAAGTTTGGGCTTGGAGGCTAGTAAGAGAACTGGAGAGAAGTGAAAGAATCGTCATGTTTTTGCAGATGGCGTTGGCTGAGCTTGCTGAGCTGGAGGGAGAGGGACCAATGAAGGACGTTCATAGGGTTTTGATTTGAACCACTAGGGAGATGGTGTTTTCGTGAGCTGTGGGATGTGGCAGAAGGAACACGTAGGGTAATAGGAACGTGATCAAGAGTTTGGAATTGTGCGTTTTGATTTGATTCGGTGTATTAGACATCTAGGTCCAAGGATCATAGACGCAGCTGTGTATAGGGTTCTAGAGTTAAGGCTCTATAAACAGATTTCTTAAATGTGGGATGTAAAGTTTTAAAGAAGAGGATCCAGGACCTAAAGGTGGCAAAAGAAAATGAGAAGAAATAGCCAATAAGTAGAAAAACAAGATGAGCGGCAAGCCAAGATTTAAAACAAAAGCGTGTAAAGCGGGCGTGCCCAGTGAGCGAGCTCCTTACAGCGTGATCCTGTGAGGATAAGAAGGTAGCCAAAGAGAAGCAGTTTCATTCACAGTAAGGGGGACACGTGCCTCCTCGCTGGTGTCATTTAAGAGAATGTGGGTAAGAAATCGGAAGCCACAGGTATAGGCTTCTCTTCAGAAAAGTTTCACTGAGCAGGTGACCTGAGAAATTTGGCAGTAGCTGAGGGGAAACGTGGAATAAATCAAGGGAGCTTTTTTTTTAATCAGTATAAGTTATAAAAAATCAAAACAATTTTTTTCACAAAAGTATGTCATATGACACTTTTTTGTTTAATTTTGTTACTGTTTATTTTTTATTAAATTTATTGGGGTGACTGGTTAGTAAAATTACATAGGTTTCAAGTGTACAATTCTGTAATACTGAGGCAAATGCAATCAAAACCCCGATGAGAAACCACATCACACCTGTTAAGTATTTTGTTTTAAGACAATTACAGTTACCTGGAGTATGTGTTTAATGCTTCCCGTAAAATTTACGTAGATGTTTATCTTATAAATATGTATTTTGAAATGATTTTCCACTCCTTGGGGAACTGCCACCAGTTTCCGGTCAGCTTAAACTCATTCAGGTTTGCCTGGTTTGGTCTAAGAAGTTATTTTGCCATATTTTTTGTGTATGCATTCGTTCTTGACAGGGAGGGAAGGTATGCTGGAAAATCAGCTATGCAGGCCATTGGAGTCTAAACAGATGCCTCAGAAGCTTATGAACCACCGTTTTGGAATGCCTTAGGGTATCTTAATGTGATATAAAGGCCTAGAATGGACCAGAACTAGAACTTTTAATACACTTTCATCTCCTAAGTGCAGTGGGGCCACACTGAGTTAGTGTTAGAAATGAGAATGAGTACTGGACGCTCATCTGTGAAGCTATTCAGGGCGTTTCACTTGGAGCGTTCCAGGCCCTGACTCCGTCTGACTCCATCTCTGTCCTCAGATGATGATGGGGTGTCTAAGATGTCTGTAACATCTGGGTGGGCACAAACGGCATCTGCTGCATGGGCGGGCTTCTTGGTTATCAAGCTGTTTTTATTTTTATTATTAGCCTTCTAACTAGTTTCTTTAGCATTCTTTAATCCTGCAAATATAAATATTTGTTATGTCTTTTCTAGTTCTGAGTGTGTGGTTGCAAAAGTTGGCTAGAGAGGGTGATCATTCTTTTTCAGAATAACATGAGGATTTTTACTCCCATAGAGAATTCTCAAATAAGGACAAAGCCCATGATTTTATGTTCTTCTCATACTTTGAATTTTAATGTGTGGTCATGCAAAGCTTCTTTAGCTCTCCAACTAGTACTTATACAAATCTCAATAAGTGTAATAAGGGTTTGATGAAAATATGAATTAAGACAATTTCTGACTTCAGGATACTTAAAGATGAGTGGAGGAGATTGTCGTGCAGATAGATAACTGTAATATAAGATAGTTTAGGGGGAAACAAGGAAAGAGGAGGGGAGATTCACAACACGTGGAGACAGATGGCTGCAAGGTTTCGGCTGTTTAGTAAGTCATGGTGTGGCCCACTCAGGTAGCTTCGAAAGAGAGAGATGCTTAATGTTAACAATACTTGGGAAGCACCTTTGTGGTTGAGTTGCTAAGATCGGGTGGTAGAGATGTGCGCATTGATAAGCCTCACGCAAAAGCTTTGCTCTGCCCTTAAGATAGTCATTCTCGTGGTGCCGTCCCGTTTTTTAGTAGTGATGTCACCAGATCCTTTTGTATTACCTGAGATATGCCTCCTCCCTTTGTAATCTGTCCAGGACTGCTGTTCGTTTTTATTTTATTGTTATTGTTGCTTTTTTTTATTAGTTATATACTGATTGATTTCTTTATTGTTACTTTCAGTATTACGTCATTCCGTGGCTTACCCAAATTGTATCTCTTCTGCTCCAATACTGATTTCCCTGCTATAATTTCACTATTTTGAAATAATTACAACACAGATCATTATTGTAAGAAGCTACCTTGGGAATAAATTCCTTATTAATTACAAGTTCCCATTTATAAAGCGGTTTACAGTATAAGCCTGCTCTCTCGTATGTCAGTAGATCTGACTCCCAACTCCCTGCTGAGGTGGGGCTCAGCGTCCCCGATTTTCAGAGGAGGACGCCGACTCCCCAGGTAGCACGGTGACTCATCACACAGCCCCGCAGTGGTGGGGAAGGGCTCCAGCCTGCCGCGCGGTCGTCCCTGAGGCGCCGCTCTTCTCCCACCCGGGGCCACTCGGCCTTCGCTTCCCGTGGGGCCCTCCGTTCCCGAGTTCTCCAGGGTTCCGCCACAGCAAGCGGCGCCGTGCCGGCGGATGGAAAAAGAGACAGCACACGCAGTCTGCGAAGGAACTTGAGACTGACTGCTCTTTGTAACTGTCTGTAACAATTTTGTCAGAGTGTGTGTGTGTGTGTGTGTGTGTGTGTGTGTGTGTGTGTGTGTGTTTCCGGTGTTACCGTGTAGTTGTTTTGAAAATATAGCTATCAATTGAAATTTTTTGAACGGTAAAGTTATTTACATGTCTGATTTTGCAGTACGTGACACTGAAAGAAATGCCTGCGGTGCTTGTTTTCAAAGACGGAACTTACTTTGTTTACGACGGTAAGTTCCCAAGTCGTAGCTCACATAAAACATTTTAAACTTAAAATGCTGTGCCTATTGTAGGACTTGGGTGTTGATGAAAGATTTAGTAAATGCGGCTGCTGCTTGCAGTTTCCATTACTTGAAAGACTGATGATGCGTTTTTCTTACCCTTCAACTTTAGTTTTTCCATTTAGTGTTCTTTCATTAAAGGTTTCATTTTTCTAGGTCAGGTTGTTTGCCTTTTTGAGAAGTAAAGGCGATGCAGTTTCTATATATTACTTTAAGACATCCAAATTTAGTTGTTAAAAAGACATGACAGCTCAGACACGCACACAGGTGAAGCAATAAAAGGTCTTCAGCAGTGGCGAGGCCTGTGGCTTCCTTCGCTCCGTCTCCCTGGCAGACGGGAGTAACCGTGCACCTGCCGCTCAGCGTGTCTCATCGAAGCAAACACTGGGTCTGTTTTTTAAATATTGTCGTTATGTTAAACAGACATCATAGTAAGGAGAATGCTGAAGTACTAAATCTCTACGTACATGCCCATCACCCAGCCTAGACACTTACCAAGATCTTAGCACATTTGCTTCAACAGGTTTTTCTTTGTTGAAGTGTTTAAAGCAAATCCCAGTGGCAGTCCATCACTGCGCGCTTCCTCGCACAGCTCTTTAAAAATGTGGACTTCTTTTTAGATAACCACATGCTGTTACAACATTTAACAAAAGTAACAAAATTCCTTGGCATTATCAGAAAGCTATTCCCACAGTTCCCAGACAGTGCCCTCAGGTGTCTCAGGGCAGTGTGACAAACTCGCAGTGAAGAATTGTTCTGTGAATTAATGTTTGTGCATCTGATCACTTAGATTCTTATAAGTGAAATTTATAATTTCAGATTATGATCACGCATCAGCCATGTTATATGGCATTATAAACATTTTACAGACATAATTACACTGTAACATCAACTTTGTTTTTAAGAGTATGAAGATGGTGATCTGTCATCTTGGATCAACAGAGAGAGGTTTCAGAACTATCTGACTGTGGATGGCTTCCTCTTGTATGAACTTGGAGACACCGGTAACAAACATATGTACAACTCTCTCCCTCACCCTACAGAATTTTTCCTTAATTGATCACTTAAATCAGATTCGGTAGAAAATGAATTTTAAGCGCTATTTTATAATTTCTTCTTTAGACCTGAATGCCAGTTTTGCCTTATGAGAATATAGATTAATATTACCAAAGAACATATCTTCATATGTAAATCAAAGATTAGCTAGGGATGGCTTAGTAGTAGAACTGAAAGCAACAGGAAAACGGAGCCTGGATAATAAGGAAATGAGAAAAATTAACTAACCAGGAAGCTGATTATAACCAGCTCAGGAGGCTGATTTTGTGATAGAAGCTGAATAGAACTCACAACCTTTAAAGCCTGCTTTTGCTTGTGAGGAAAATACGAGTATCAGATTTGCATGATTTCTTAAAGCTCCGTGATCGAAATTGACAGGCAAAGCAAATACAAATATAGATGCAAAAAAGAAAGCTGTACGAAGCTAACCGTATGGTCTCAAATACATGAAAACGATGAAAATTGTAAGAAGCTACCCCTGTAAGCTTTAGAAGGAAATGTTCCGTAAATTTATAGCAAAGTATGAATGGAAGTCACGGTCACTGCGGCATCTGTTTCCATTGACGACTTTGTGATGAGTGGGATGGAAGGGGAGTTTTAGATGGGAAGAACGGGGACTTTTACCGAAGGCTCAGCTGTTTTACTTGAGAAGTAACAGGCGTTAGCTTTCTCTTCCTGCTGTCCTGCTCTTGAAGCTGATTGAGAATACAAAGTAGAAACACGCTCATGGTCCTGCTGTTTCGTAAATCTTTCTTAGGATGGTGTTTGTTCTGGTCTGGAGCCTGCTTTTTAAAATTCTGTATCTGGTGGTGGTTCTGTCTTCGCTTGTCCCTCTGTGGGGGCAGACGTCAGCTCAGTGTTGCGCGTTGACATGGATACTGTCGAAGATTGTAGATTTACTTGCTAATTCTTTCAGGCCCATGTGAAGCGAAAAGGGGGAAAATGTAGGAATACAGTCATTTAGCTTTCAGTTATTGTAATCGCAGGAGACAGCCTGACCTCAAGGTAATTAAAATAGGCAGCTTGGGCCCGGTTTCTTCTCCCAGAGTAATTTGGAAAGAAGTTGGCTGTGGCAGTTAGTGTTCCTGTCGTGTGTCCACCATACCGCCCTTGCCAGGTATCATCTTCAGCCATCATTTCCCCTGGCCACCCATCATAAAGGCGCCACCACCAACTTCTGACCCTGGTGGCTTCAGATACTTCGTACCTTCCGAGAGGGTCTGGAGCCCGCAGCTTCTGACTCCTGCCTGAGTCTCCAGCCTCATTCTCTGTCACCCTTCCCCACCCTCTCCCTTCTGCAGCCGCACTGACCAGAGGCCATGTGCCTCGCGCCGGCGCACCTGCACACACCCTGTGTTCTTTCCCTGGACACGCGCAGTTAATTTACGTGCGCGCGTCAAACTCAGACCGAATGTTGCTTCCTTAGGAAAATCTTTTACGGACCCCTCAGAACTACTGTGGTTTGCTGCGTAGGACTCCTTTATAAAAACACCGTGTTTCTCCCCTTCGGAATCCTGACTGCTCAGCGCACATCTCTTTGTGATCGTCTCCCTGGCAGACCCGTGTCTGTGCTCATCGCCACGCCTGGAAACTAGCCCAGGGCTGGGCACACGCCTCGGCCTCAGGAATCGTGAAATTAATGCGTGAGAAGCTGCATGCTTGGCCTGTGGATGGATGCTCTTCATGATGTAGGCATTTTGGAAAAAACTCATGGAGCACTTGAGAATGAAAGAAGCACAGAAAAACCAAGCACTGAATAGTGAATGAAATAACATTTCAAGAGGAGAAGTCGTTATTGTGGAATAATGTTTTCAGTTGAGGGTTAAAGGAAGAGTCAAGATTGTGTAGAATTCAAGACACTCGTGAGCACTGTGGAATTAGGAAAGAAGCGTTAAGATGTGGGGATTATCTTGAAAGATTATTGATTTAATCCTAAATTTATATACCTGCTCTGAATCAGAAACTGTCCCAGTGTTGTTGAGCATGTCATGTCAGTCAGCTCCCTTATCAACTTGGCAGTAGGTTCTAGTTTAAACAAGTTGAAGTTTACGGAGGTGAAATCACACAGCTGTTAAAGACGGTGCTTCCCCAGTGTCCTCCCAGGCCTAGAACGGAACAGGCCCTGCTGGGTTAGTGTCTGGGTTTCCGACTCCAGTGCACTGGTTGTCATGTCAGGGTGCCTTCCTGGAGGATATCTGTCAGAGGTGGATGTGATGTGTGGTCTGCACGGGGATAGGTAAATCTTACGAGCTGGTTTTATTTTGTGTATTATTGCTGGCAGGTAGTGGCCCAGGGCACCAGAGGGAATAGCAGAGTCAAAGTCTTTCTCTTGTAGTAGACCATTCTTTAGAGCTACGATAATTAATAGTAAATTTCCTTATCAACTTATTCCTTATGGTTTTAGCTTTTGACAGACCACTTATTTTAATCATTTTGCATATTGTATGGAAAAATACAATTTGTGTATTTGAATTGTTAAGTATTTGCTATTTACATTTCGAGGATGGGAGGTCGGAAGGGATTAGCACTTGACGTTGACTTACTGATTTCACTCTACTGAGTATAACGTGTGGGATAATTAGAATTAAATTCTAGAAGTAATGTTTACTGATTCCTGATTCACAGCTATAATAATGAAAAAGTTTGTATAGTTAAGCTTATTTATATGTATCATTCTTAATTTCAGGAAAGCTCGTGGCTATTGCAGTTATTGATGAGAAAAATACATCAGTCGAGCATATCAGGTATAGTGCCTTCAAATACCACCTAATTCCAACTTTACGTGGTTTCAGATAAACTTCATATAGTATGTTTTCTTGCAGTGTTAGCTAAGGCAGCAGGTATTATTATCGAATAATTACAATTTTTAAGTGAAGAAATGAAATACTCATGTATTTGTTCTTCTGCAGATTAAAGTCAATTATTCAGGAAGTCGCTAGAGATCACAGAGATGAGTTCCACAGGTAGGTGCTTACATTCTGGATGTTCTTCAGTCTTGGTTTAGTTTTGTAGTATAGTAACCAAAAGTAATTGCATTTTATACTTTCAAAGATGGATCAAGAGGCTGAAGTGAATTATAGCATATTGCATTTCTGTATGAATTGTTTGGACTTGAAATTTGTTGAAGTATGTCCTACAAGTAGAAAAAGAACCCTTTATAATTTGTGTTACACCTGCTCCTTGATTTGGGGTGAGTTTGTGGTAAGAAAACATGCGCATGTGCTCATACATTTGAGATAAAGGTAGAGAAGCAATCACAAGTCAGATAGACAAATGATGATCGTTAACAGGAACTCAGCATAATGAATGTAAAAACAAGTGATTTTTTATAGTGTGCTAAATCACTGCTGCCATAAGAGACACTCAGTGTAAATTCCTTATATTATTTAATTATTCCCCTTTTATTCTCAGTCCCCTAATGGTGTATTGGTGATATATACTTATTTCCTGTTAGAGTAAGTGGGTAATTTTTCTTAAACATGTTTACTTGGAAAAGCTTATGTTGCCTTGCACTTTAATTATATGTAAACAAAGTAGAAATATCTCATAATTTAATTCCACCTGTGTGTATTTGTATCTCAAAAACCTGTAGCATTCACACTCTCCTACACGTTGCGATTCATGTTTACATGCTTATTACCAAGTTCACTCGTTTTTTTTGTATTTAATATGGCACTCTCTCTTTTTTGTTTGTTTGTTTGTTGTTGGTTAGGGATTTTCAGTTTGGACATATGGATGGGAATGACTATATAAATACCTTGCTAATGGAGTAAGTAAAGTGCTAAATGATTTTGCTTTTAATTCTATCAATTTTTAAATTTCTTTTTCTGAGACAGACAGAAGGAGTAATAGCTGAAAAAAGCAAATAAGTGGTGTATGTTGTTGCAAATATTCTTCCATTAAATATTTCACTTTAATTTTTAAATCTATATTTGAAACTCTTATATTGTTCTATGCTAAAATATTTGTCTCCCAATTCAGTGTTAATAATTTATAGTATTTCAAAAAGAAGAGATTCGAAATCTTATAAATTTTGTGGGTTTTGTTCAATACAAACCTTAAGTTCACTTTTAACGAACAAATGTAACTTAAGTGGAAAATTTAGCATTCAAGAATTAATAGCTATTCTAGAGAATTTATTTTAACAGGCTAAAATAACTTTATAAGAAAAATATGCAATTTAAATTTTCATTGATTATGTTTATGATGTAAAGATCCGATTTTTCGCTTCAGAAAGTTGATATTGGAAAACATTTGCCATACCTATACTGAATTAATAAATTTCAGATAAAAACCTATTCAGTGGACACTTAGTGAATATTTACTGTATTTTATACACTGTTTGCCATTGTTGATGCAAAAAATGAGTAAGTTAGGGTCCTTGTCTTCGTGTGCTTATAGTCCGCTGGGTAAGACAATGTGATTATCACAGAACTGTGGGAAAAGGTCTGTGTAGTAGGGAGTTCTGGACACAGACCCTCACCCCCACCCCAGTGCACACAGGTGGAGGGGCTCGGAGAACGCTTGCCGGAGGAGCAGTAACTAGGAGAAGCGCTGAAGTTTGAGAAGTTAGCTGATGGGAGACCGCAGAGAGGTTATTTCCGGCAGAGCATAAGAGCAGACAGACACTAGAGACAGTAGCAAACGGGGCTTGGAAGGGTGGTGGCGCTCAAAGCAGCCCCTGGGACAGATGGGGAAGCTCACTAGAGGCGGGCGCGCTCGTCCAGTGGTGTGGAGGCCCAGGTGAGTCGGCCGTGGTGTGCTGTTTCTCCTCTCCCTTAGCTCAGGAGCGTAGGTGGAGCAGGTGGCTTCATTCACGGGTGCAGCGTATGGGGTTAAATTAGAGTCTGCCATTTTCCAGGGAAGAACAGTGGGAAAATGAAAACCAAACTTAAAAACTCAAAGTGGCATTCATAATTTTCAATTAAAAAGCTGAAATTATAGTGTTATTTTTCTTCATTTATATTCAGTTTTTGTCTCTTTTATTCTAATTTGAGATTTGCCAGAGATATAAAGTACCAGAAATAAAATATGATGAAGAAATCGTGACAAAGAAAAATAAAACAAATGATTTCTACAGTCATTAAAAGTACTTGAAAAAAATTGGTCCTGAATTTTTAATACTCAAAACAATGTAGGAAACCATTGTTTAAACAGAGTGAGCAAGAGGTCAAAACAATTTTGGTCCAGTGACCAACTGCTCGACCCAGGATGATGTTCAGGATATCTAGAGATAGGTAGGCAAGGTGTTCCTTCATGAGTGTTCCTTCGTGTGTGAGTTGTGAGACAGTAGAAATTTTGAGCTGCAGTTGTCAGAAAACAGCAGTGATCTCCATTACCACCCCTTATAGTTTGGGGTGTTTCTGTTTTTGTTTTTTAATTCATATTGTGCTTTTTGTTTTTTTGAGAGAAGTGAGAAGGCATATGGTGGTCACATAACAATAATTGAAAGTTTTTATTGAGCTCTTACCCTGCAACCAACACTGGACTAAGTGGTCATTGTATGTTTTCTAACTTGTACAGTAACTCAGCAAAGTGTAAGTGCCATTATTATCTACATTTTATGAAAACGAGGAAATTCATATTTCTTAGAAGAAACTCAAGGAAATTAAATGATATGTCAGAAGGCACCCAACCAATAAGTGAGATCCAGTCCTCAAATCTCTTGCTCCAGAAGCACTTAACTGCTGTGACATGAATGGTGACAGATAAAGTCGTGTAATTTAGTAAAGATTGATGCCTAAAATATTTTTAACTTAGGACGGATACATGATATATAAAATAAGTACATTGCAGTATTGATTATATTTTTTATTTTTTCTCAAAATAGGGTACTGTCAGGCCTTTGGTCTATTAAATTATTTTGTATTGGGATTTTGTGAGTATAATTAAAAGGGTAGAGTGAGATAATGCTATTTTCTATCGTTATTCAAACCGAATGATTTCAAAATGAATAGTTTCTAGTTCAACTGTATTTAATTTTTTCATGAGATGTGTTTTTATAGGAAGGCCAGGTTCTAATCCATTCTATAAAAATGGATTTTTTTTTTTTTTGCTGCACATGCATTATAACTAAACCGCAGTCATTTATTCTCCCTCCCTTGGCTGGGTGTGGCCGACCATGGCTGGGCCAGTTAGGCTCAGGTCTACACCATGTCTTTAATGTCCTTGACCCTGGTGGGCCGTTTTTCCTGGGAATATTCTTCTCATGGAGCCACCAAATGCCAGAAGGTGAGCCCCGCCGCCCCAGCAGGTTTCAGGCCTCTGCTCCGCCCCTTCTGTCGTCTTCCACTTGACCAAGTCACACAGCCGTGCCTTTGGTGGTGCTGCAGAAACCGATCTTGGAAAGAAAAATAATTTCAGTGCAACGACCCGCATGGGTACTAGTGCAGTTTTCTGTCTGCGAACTGCAGTGGAGTCTAGTGGCTCACGGAGGGGTGATGGCCTGTGTGTGGGACATGGGGGGTGCTGACAGTTTGGAACGGTATGTGTGGGACACATGTTATGTCCAAGGTGCTGAGCTGAATATTTAATCATTTGGTTTTTATAAAAAGATAGGTGCCCCGCCCCCCACACACAGCTTTTATTCATCTGTAAATGAAAAACACTAAGCTTAAAAAACTAAATTATGCAAAAGCCCCAGTTCTGAAAACAAGCAGCACAGCTCTAGAGAATATGCCCTTCCCACTCGCCACCGGAGCGCCCTCAGAGGTGGGATGTGTGTGTTGGACAGTGATGTGTGGCAGGAAGTAATACTGCCCTGAAATTGACACTTCGTATGTAATCATTTTTACCCTTAAGTTTAATTGTGAATGCTCAGTTGTCTGATATTGTATGTTAGAATGTTTTTCATATCACAGTTTAGCTATTTTTTACATAGATGCAAAAACTGAAGTTTATGTAGGCAAAAGGAAGCAAAGCCATCAATATAGCTCCCGCCTTTTGTAATTATAATTACTTAGATATACTATAAACAGTTATCAGAATAGTTGTCATCTCTGTTTGATGTGTGTTTTGATTTCTCTGGTTTTCTGTTCTCAGCGAATTGAAAATCCCCACTGTTGTTGTGCTGAACACTTCGAACCAACAGTACTTTTTACTGGACAGACAGGTTCAGAGTGCTGAGGACCTGGTCCAGTTCATTCGTAGCATTTTGGACGGCACAGTAGAAGTAAGTCGTTCGTGTCCTTTTCAGAAGGATGGAGGAAAGGATTTCCTTTCCTTCTGATTCTGAAAGGGAGAGTTGGCCATCCCTGGGGGGAGGGGACAGTCACATCCTGCAGACAAGGTTCTTTGGTGGCAGAGGCCGCTCGTGGGGTGGACTGCCCCTTACAGGACTGCCCCTTACCTGGAGGGCCTTTTGGGGTGTCACGGTGATCGCAAGGCGCTGCTGCCTTGGAGTCAGGTGTGGGATGTGTACTGTGCAGAGCTGTCCGGATGGCAAACTTCCTGGCTCGTACAAGCTTCCCGGGTTCAAGAGTACGACTGGCTTCAGTTACTCAGATTGGTTTCCTAAGAAAACCTGTGAGTAGGACCACAGCTCCTAAAGAAATAGGAAATACGTTGAGAATCAGAGCCCCAGAGGAAAGATCCAAATCCTGTGAAATGTTTCTCGGACATGAGAAGCAGATGGTCTTAACTGTCTTTTTTTCTATAGTTCTTACTGCAGCATTTTTCAGACAGTGGGTTGTGACCTATAGTAGCGGGTCATGAAATGACTTCAGCAGGCTGTGACCAGTGTGCACCTCAGCTCAATAGACTAGACTAAAATAGGGAATATGAACTTTGTGCTTTCATGAAGTTTAGTTTGTGAGAATTTTGTTTCAGCTTTACACGAACTTTACATGGCAGTTGGCTTACAGAGTAACAAGCATCTCTGCTTTGGAAACACTTAATCACGTAGTAGAATTTTGTGTTTGTGGAAAACACCTGGATGAGCGGGCCCCGTTTGTTGTAAGGTGTTGGAACCCCGCTCAGACTGTGTGACGACGAGAGGTCTCGCTGGCTCACACGGCTCGGGAATCCGAGCACCGGGTCAGACTCGGGGGCTGCACGCCAGGAACGTGGCTGGTCCCATCAGGAACCTGCTCTCAGCGCTTCCCTTGCTCAGCGTCAGCCTCAGGGGACTCTCCCTACACAATAGCAAAGGTGTTTCACGACCTCAGATCAACTCAGGACGGGGCGGGCCTCGTGGACTCGGCCGGGTCACCACAGCCGAGCTGCTTGGATCGTGAGTGGAAGGGTGTGTTCTCGGGGGAGAATCAGAGCGTCCACACGGGCAGCCGAGAGGCAGGTGGCACGGAAAACACCGGAAAGGTTTACCACATGGCCCTCGCAGGTGCTTTGTGTAGTCTGTGCATGACCCTGACCCGCCGTGGTAAGGTTATGGAACAGGAAAATGGAGTGGTGGTGCTTCAGTGACGATTCAATTAACTTCTCCTGTTACATTTAAGGCCCAAGGAGGTGACAGCATTTTGCAGAGATTGAAAAGAATAGTGTTTGATGCCAAGGCTACTGTTGTGGTAAGTTGTCACAGTTTGTTTAATGTCATTGAGAACTGAGAATATTTAGATACATAGTTCCTTTATGTCCAGCTAAGGTGAAATCTGGAATTTCAAAGGATTGGGTAAAAATACATCCTTTTAATTGGCAACGTAAGATTACTAGTCTATTTACATTAAGAAATTGTCTTCATCAGGTGAAAATAGTTTCTCTGTTCTTCCCCTGATGGTTGGTGATTAACTGGAATTCAGAGCCAGCTAACTTGATGGCATGACCTAAAGCGTTTCAGAGTCTCTTCCCTCCTGCCCTGTTCAGCCCTTGGGTCTGCACCCTTCCTGCTTCGAACTCTCAGAAACCTTTATCAGCCTGGCCTTGACTGTCAACCACTGTGACAGCAGAGGCACCCTAAATTTGAGCCTCACACTTAGTTCTGGTTACCTACTGGGATCTAGCCCATTGGTATTTTCATTCATTCTGGCCAAAAGCAGTCATCAGATTAGAGCTGGCGAGAAATAAATTAACAGTATTTGGCTTATTCCATGTGTCCTTCAGTTTATTAGTGACCTGCCTTTATTTCTCTGTTGTCACCAACGTGGACTGGCCCTTAGCATATGTCCGGCCGCTCCTCTGGCTGCTGCTTGCTGTCCTCACTTCCTCTTGCCCTGTTTCCAGCCCACTCTGTACCCGCAACAGAATTTACATTAGTAAAATGATCGGGTTTGCTCACTTTCTGTCCCTTTTCCTGCGATGCACATCAGAATACTCTTCATCCGGGGATTGTCCTTGGTGTCTGGGCGCTGTGCCAGCCCCCCCGGGCCTTCTGGGTAGTGCCGACCCCGCAGCATGGCCGGCCTCGTGCTCACTCTCACCCAGACTTCTGCCTGAAAACACCTTCATGTGTGAAACTGGCTTCTGCTGTCCCAACCCACAGTGACCTTGCCCTCCTCTGAATTTGTCTCTGTAGTTCACAGAGTCAGAGTCACAGCCCGTAGACTGCATCAGAGTCGAAAAACCTATTCAGCGAAATTGCTTTTACTTTGGGGGAGCTGAGGAGACAGTATATAAATTATTAATGAAAATTATTAAGTCACTGTCGCTTTTCTACTAACCAGATGAGTAAAAGAAATGTCACGTGTAGAGAATGCGTGCGCACCTTCTCAGCAAGCAGAGCCCCGTTGTCCACGGAGCAGCTCGGGAGCTGCTGGGCACATGGCTCCGACTGCCTCTTAGAGACCTTTGTGGGAAGTGTGAGAAAAATAAGCGCTTTAGAAAAGGTCCTAGAGTATTCGGTGCCTTTTTCCGCTGCCAGTAAGTTGTTAGACACACGCACACGTAAAATCTGCCTTACAGTTCCTTTACCGTGGTCACTGCAGAAGCTGACATTGCTCCATTAGAACTAGAAGCACGTTGGGCAGCGAGAGGAAGAATGGTGTCGTTCTTAGTCCATCTGAGGGACACTGAGTCGTAATGCTCTTTCCACAGTCTATCTTCAAGAGCTCTCCAATCATGGGCTGCTTTCTCTTTGGCCTGCCACTGGGTGTCATCAGTGTCATGTGCTACGGCATCTACGCCGCCGACACAGACGGAGGTTACATAGAAGAGCGATACGAAGTGTCCAAAAGTGAAACTGAAAGCCTGGACCTGGTGGACGAGAGCGGAGGGCAGCAGGAGCCCGGAGGTGGAGACGGCCGGGGGCCTGCCGTGCAGGAGCCCAAAGACGCCTCGGAGAAGAAGAGAGACTGAGCTTTCACCAGCGTCAGGTTCCATAGCCTGTCAGATTAGTCAAGAGTCTATTCATTGAATTCAGACACTTAATCATGATCTTTACAGAAGAGAATGTGTTATTTGTATTTTGCTGTTACCAACTGCATGGATTAAAGTGGTCCCTTGCGTAAATGGGCAGATGTTTGGAGCAGAGAGAGGAAAGGTTTGTCTAAAGCAAACAAAACACACTCCATCACGGTTTGTTTATCTTGTAGATGCTGTTACAGCAGATCAGTTCGATTTGCATGTTTCTCTGTCTCATATTCTGTGGCAGAATTAAGATTCTCGGGCAGAATATTTCAAATTGGTCAGTCAGGTAGAAGAATCGTATTTGATAGAGAAAAATAATACCTCTACTTCCATCCATTCTCCTCTGATATTTTGGATAAGATTTATATGGACAAAATTATGTCTTTAAAATTTAGGCACTTTAGGGAGAACCAACAACTTTTTCCATGGGTCAAGTTAAGATTATGAGGTTAAGAATAATTTGATTTTATATAGCGTAGTGATTTTATTTTGTTGTTATTTTTAAAAGAAGAAATGTTACTTTTTAACTTAATACTTGGTTGCGTTATAAAATGTTCACATTGGCCTATAGAGTGGCAAAAAAATAGACTTACGTTTCATCTTTGCAACGTAAACTGGATTTCCTTGGAGCAGTGATTTCAAGCCATGCCCTGGGACACTCCTCAGGTGTCACTGCAGGAACCGGAGGCACTGTCACCCACCCCTGCCCTGCTCTAGCCAGGCAGCCTACCTTCCTTCTGTTTTCTATTTTGGAGTTTCTTCTAAAAATTTCCTTTGGTAAAAGGCTCTTGCTGCTTTTTAAAGAGTAATATATTTTTATGTTTATGGCATGGTAACTTATCTAATATGTGCTTGTATGTATGTACACACACACATCCATATGAACGTATAAAATGTATCGACATGCATCTGTTATGTAACATCATGGGCCTGTTCATGATGAGTAATGAGTGACATCATCATTCTGTCCACAAGATTCATGTCCAGTGACTGCAGAGGTCAGCCAGTTACCTTCTTCATCCTCAGTTCTGTCACCTGTCCTCTCATCCTCTCTCCATAATGAATCACATACGAATTCGTTCTTGAGTAATGTATAGAAATTGGTATTTTTTAAAATATCAGTTTGGTATGTTTATTTTAGATGAGTTTATTTTCGAGGCCTTTGTTTTAGCTACGTTTTGAATTTTTATTAGGTAACTATTATTTGGGTGATTATTCATTGAGCAATTGAGTTATTTAATATAAAGGATTTTATTAAACATTTGAAATGTTTATAATCACTTTAAAACTCTGTAGTTCATGGTCCCGATTCTGAAGCTGTTTAGGGCTCTGGCCCCCAAGGGCAGCCTTGGTTATCTCTGATGCCACGTTGATCGCAGCTAAACCGAAACCCTGGATCTTAAGAACTAAGGGGTTGGCAATTGTTTTCTTGTGTCGTGTACTTTATTGGTGTATAATAATGTCACGCCATTATTACCTTTAATAATGAAACACATACGCAGTCACCTATGCAGGGAATTTCAGGAAATGCTAGAATGAAATGTTCTTAAGTGGAAATTGGAGACACAGGCTATTCATTTACCAAGTGTATTCCTTCCCAAAGAGACGTGAGGGATTCTTCTGGAAGGTACACATTAATGTGCCCAGCGGTCAAGCCTGTTTCACAGCAGTGAAAAGCTCAGGTAAATACAGATGCTTCACTCGAGTCTCGGTGTAGGGAGGAAATTAAGGCTTAGCCACGGACAGTGACAGGAGGAAGTTGTAGAAAATGTCATTGCTTTTTTCCTTCATGTTTACCACATGTTTATCCTATGTCATCTGTTTGTTTTTGTCTTAAGCATCGCCTATAAATGTACAACCTCAATAGGGGAAAGTAAAAAAAAGTAGAACTCAGTATGTGTCAACAAACAAAAGTCCAGCAGTCTTTGTCTAATGAGATTTTTTAGGCTAATGCCTTAGTCTGTTACCTTTTTCACAACTCAGTGCTGCTGCCCCATATTGTTTGTTTTCACAATATATCAGGAAACAGAGTGTAGGTGGTTTATAAGTGAATAATTTGATTTCTTTTTTTTTGTATTAAAAGTTTGCTTTTTACTTACATCTTCTTTAGAATCTTGTCAGACTCCTCACAGGACAAATTTTAGTATATGTGCTGCCGAAGCGAGCACTCACAAAACATTTAAAAATGTTTGTTTGCTGGTATGTTATTCCCTTCAGTGTGATATCTGAGCTTACTAGGAATGCTATTTTCATTTCCAGAAAAAAAAAAATCAAAATAAAAGATTTCTTAACAAATCTGGTAGAACAGATAGCATCCTAATTGATGGATGAATCTTACCATGATGACCTATCACTAGAGGGAATGTCCTTCAGTCTTGGAGTTTTTTGCCTTCTCTATTAGTCGCAATAAGTTTCTATTTCTGACTTCTAAAATTCACAATCCTAGATGCTCACTGTTGCTGAACCTGGTGCTCAGACAGTGGTCAAAGAACTCACAGAGAAAGGGCGTGTTTTTAATCAAGCCGAGCACCCATTGCAGCTTGCAGCCCTTTCTGTTTGTTTCATTGTGTATATTAATATTTCTCTAGCAACTGCCTTCTGGAACTTGTTTGAGGTGGATCAGACCTGGAATTTTCATCTTCTTCTGCATACACAGCGCTTCTTGGTATCTGACTGAGAGGTGACATTAAGAGCCAGCTTTCCAGAGGTCAAAGGAAGGGTCTGTCTGCGTAGTTCACCAGTTAGCTTTAGCTATGTTGTTTTTAGTGGATTTTTGTTGTTTCTTGTGTGTGGTTTCAGGGGCTTCTTTGGGGAGGGGCTCGGGTTGTACAAAAAGTAATTTAAATATTTTTGTCATCGCTTCAGTGTGACGTGGCGATAGGACAGAGAAAACTCAGCTCCTGTCATGATGCAGAAGTTGTTCAAATAAGCCAGTTTGGGGTGGTAAGACTATCAACTGGTGGGCTTAGGTTTGCCATTTTATTTTTATAAATATCTATTTTTTCTGAACGTGTCTGAGTCCAGGAGTGGGCAAAAAAATAATTTTCTACTGTGGACTGCCTATAAAGGTTTTTTGAAAGTCTGTATTACTAGTTGAATCCTGATGTCCGGCCTTAAGGCACCAATTGTAAACCTTTGTTTTTCTAAAATAAATTAATTGAAAAACCTGTAATCATTTATTTGTACTATTTATCTTTTGGTTTTTTGCGACACGAATAATTCCTTATACAAGCAAAGAGCACAACTAAGACTGATCTCTCACAAAGTATTACTGCTTTTATTAAATCATAAGTTATTTGAACTATCAAAACAATTTTAGAGTTTACACGGACTTGAGAAACAACGTTTTCTAATCTAATCCCCTTACATACGAAGAACCTGAGATTCGTAGGTCTGATGTATTTTGTATTTGTAAAACTTGATTATTTTTAAATATTACAGAGTTTTGAGTCCTTGTTCAGCTGCTAAATTGTGATCTTGGACACAGCATGGCCACCCCTCACTTCCCCTGTCCCATCGTAAAATGGGACTCTAAAGCCTCTAGATTTTCATTTTTAAAAATAGCATGCGATGGGGAGAGTATATTAAGAAAAAAGAAAACTTTGCATAAATGTCGATGCTTTAATTCGCGTTTCATATTTTGCACTGTGGGCATATCACTTCGCGAGAATTGCTCTGGCACAGGAATCACAGCCCAGAAGCCGGCCCCCTACAGCTCACGGACGTGTGCAGACCAGCTAGGTCGAATGGGCCTCCTGCGGCAAAGTGACAAAGCGCGTCTAGCCGCGTCTGAGTCGTGGGAGCATGATGGAGGCCTCGGGCCCTGCATCGCATTGCACGTGTGCAGGCCCCGGGGTCTCACTGCCTGGACCCTGGTCCTCACTCTGTCACTCACGTGTGCAGTTGGTAAGACTTAACCCCTCCGCTCCCGGGACTGTCATTGGCGAATGATGGCACCGGTCTCATCGAATTACAAAGATTAGATGAATCACACGTGACACATATTTAGAACATGACTGACACGTAGTAATAGCTCAAAAATTATAACACAATTTAAGTTTCTTACTTCATTTAGAATTCGTCATTGTTTACCACAGAAGAGCCAAGGCATTAAGAATGTAAAATCCTAATATGTGTAAATTTGGCCTCTTTCTATAATTTAAATTTAAGTTCTAACATTTCGGATAGAAATGAAAACGTTATTTCTTTAACATTAAATTACACTTACAAATATGTAGGTTCACAAACATCTCCGGAAATCCTTTTCATTTTGTGCTTTTAGTGAAATGAATAAGCTTATGGGGTTATAAGTATCCGGTAGGATTATTAGTGTGTGTGAATAGATGAAATGTGATTTAAACAGATTTAGAATATTTGTGGATATTAAATATAGAAAGGAAAATTATTTGACTTTCCTGCATGTCTTTCTGATAATATTCATAAGTCCTCAACTTTTCTCTAAACTCACCTCATAAATTGAAAGGTGTTTCAAACCAATGGAAAAGCGGCAACTATTTTCTTGCAATTTATTTTCTCGTCAGCTGTGTATTAAACGTCTTCTGTGCGCTGCTGAGGGGGCAGCAGCAGAGGGCAGCCATGGCCCCGGCCCTCGCGCGTTTCTGGGCCGTGACTGATACTCAGTGTTTACCCACAATGCTCAGTTGCAAGTCCTACTTTTCTGTTTTTCTTAGTTTCCCTTCTCATAGCATCTGTTGCTCGACACGGGATCATTGCTATTAGACCTTCGGGACCTAGGGTAAGAGACAAGGATGGCACGGAGCACATCGGCTTCCTTGGACTACGTGGAGGGGTTGGATTTTCTCGCCCTGTCTGCAGTGTGACAGTACCAGGTGGGGGACGGAACGGGAAGAGTCTAAGGTAAGGAAGCACTCAGCAGGACTCTGCAGAGAGATCCTGGGGGTCCAGGGTCCCGGGTGGAAACGGTTGCACATAAGCCGGACAGGACAGCCCGCCAGCGCTAAGCTCCCTTCAGCGACCGAGATCCCGTGAAGCCAGTAACATCATAAGCGCTGAAGCCACCTCTGTGCCCGTGTGCACAACAGTCCCTTCTTTTTACAACAAAAACAAAATCCAGATTTTTTTGGCCAGCGTGTACATATTAAATTTTAGTTGGGTAAATGAAGCAGTCAAGTGAATTTGGGAAACATACAGTAGAAAAAGGAAATTTCCCCACTCCTTCAGACTTTTCGCATGAACCTTAGCATCACCGCCCTCATCACCATGGTCGCTTATGGGTTTATGTAACAATAGTCAAAGCTGTTTGATATACCGCAGTTTCTGAACGTTACGTCTGATGCTATCACGAGAAATTCTATACCAGATCATAAGACCCCAGTCAGAAATGCAGTAAGTGATCAGGTTTTAACGACTCCTTTGGCGACGTTTAGTGTTTTGAGAATATACACACAAAAATAATGTGTAGCTAGTAAGTCCGTGTTGACATCGCGTATCTCCTTTTTACAGTCGTGCAGCGCTTGGTGACCTGGATGCGTTCTGAGAGACGTGTCACTGCGTGACTTGTGCTAACATCCTACCATTCACACACACCTGGCAGGTAGAGCCCACGACTGTAGCTGTGTGTGCTCTGCTCTTACGGGCCCGGCAGCGTGGAGCTTACACCAGCCCTGACTTAGCGTTCGTTTTTGTAATGCAGGTGCCTGACAAGCTTTGATTGCTGAGGCATCCCCCACTCCAAGGAGGGCTGTCTCAGATGAACACACTGCCCACCACAAGCTAGTTAAAAAGCTCAGCCTCTTCCCGCACGGTGGGCCCTTGATTTAGAGAGCTTGGCTGACCTCCATAACTGACCACTTGGGCTGGTGTGTTGTTATCTTCCCTGTGCTTTAAGTTCCCACTCTTATGTTCCAAATTAACCAATAAAGAGTGAGCCCATGAAACCCCAGTCCCCTACCCTGAACCCCAATAAAAGCAGAGCCCAGGCCCACCCCAGCTCTCTCTACCCAGGGCCTTGCTGTTCACCCGACTGCAAGCCTTCTGTGTTCCGAGGCCTCTAAGTCAAACTTTCTTCAATGGCTCCTAATGCTTATCCCTGAAGGGTGTCTGGGAATCGTGATATGAATGGTTAGGAGGGTCCAGTTCTAACACCGGTCTAGAAAGGGGGGTACCTGTGGGAAGGAAGCTCTGTCCCTCCTCCCTTAGGTCACCTGGCCAGTGACATGTTTATCAACCATGGCATGTAATTAGACCTAGTCTCCAGCTCCTCCTAACACCTTTACTCTGCTGCTTTATTTTTTATAAGCACATTTTTATAACATTATATATTGTTTACTGCCTGCCTCCCCCTTTAAATACACACTGAATGTGAGCTCTGAATAGTCAGACTTTTTTTTTTTTTCAAGGCTATATTCTCAGTTCCTAAAACATCCTTGGCATGAAGTATACATTCAATAAATATTTGCGGAATAAATGAGTAATTGCATATATTACATTGATATAATGTATTTATGACTACTCTGTTAAGAGTTGGTTTATGATTTTTAAAGGATCTAAACTATTAAAATCTGTACCATTGGTGAAACTAAGAATAGATTAGAGGTCAAGAACTATGGGAACTTTTAGGTAACCAAATACTCTTTATCCCTCCAATACTATGGAAAAATAAATTACGAGCTCTTGAAAATGTCAGTCTAAACTTTTTAGCCTTCGTGGTAATAATTACTATATTAAAAGTCGTGGATTCTTAGGGCAGCAGCGCTTATCAGAGTTACAAGCCTCGATCACCTCAGATGATTTATAAACATGTTTGTAAACCCTAGAAAATCTGGTTGGTCCTGGATGAACTTCCACTTGAAGCCAGAACAAAGGAAAAACAACCTTTCTCCAGCTGATTCTGACGTGTACTCTAAATTTTGAAGCAGTGGTGTAAATGATTATTAGGAGGAATAAAAATGTCAGTGCCTTTGAGAGAAGCTGTCTTTTTTGTGATTTCCTTGTGAGCATTCAGAGGTCAAATATGTTACAAAAACATGATATGCCTCAGTAGCCACATCGTGACTCCTAGACCTCGGCCAGCTTCAGGAAAGTGGTTTTCATTCTTGTAAACAAGAAAGTGTGTTATGTCCAGCTGGGGTGATAGGCTTGTCTTCTCATTCTATCCTTCCTCCAAAGACGAGCAGCGGCTTAGGGGTAGAAATCAGCCCTTCCTTTTGGGCACAGGTGTGATGGGGGAGCCCAGGGAGTCAGGAACAGGCAGGTTTCAAACTTCCGGCTTCACCTCATGAGTCATTTATGCAGAAAATGAAACTTACCATATGAAAGTATATGTCCACAGTTTTGCTTCTTTCTTCTACACTCTCTGATGTAAAACAGGATTTTATGTGACCAGTAACTGGCCCCCAATATAAAACACATCCCAACATAACAAGCTGAAAAGCCCAGAAACATCCAAAATAACTGCTCTGTAGGAGAGCGTTTCTGCTCGAGCATCTGCAGTTCCTGTCTAGATAATTGGACTTTTGTGATCAAAAGCAGTTTCTTCCCCACGGACCTGGATTATATAACTTCGGATTGTAGAGTAATAAAAAAATAAGAAAGAAGCTAAAATTCCCACTCTCCAGTGGTGCGATGCCCTTGGAGAGGGAGAAAAAATGGCACCGTGGCCTTGACCCCAATCATTCTGCTTTTAGTCAGTTTTATGTGTTCTAGTTTAAACAAAAAGTGTAAGGACTTCTTATTGTATATATTTAGAGAGTCGAAGACGTAAAGCAAACGTGGCTGAATGTTTACAATTGATGATTCTAGGTAAAGGGCCTGGGTATCACTTAGAATCACAAATTGTACTACACTTATAACTTTATGTGGGTTTGAAAAGTTTCGAAATGGTGGCGGAAAAAGTAGAATAAGCATTATAGTAAATTCTTGTTTCTGATAATCTTGACTATATACCCAGAGATTTTTTTTTTAATCTCAAATATAGAAATATGCATTGTGGCTTTAGATAAAATGTATGTGGCAGCAGTATACGTGGACTTTTAGAAATATTGTATCTCAAATATCTTAGATGCAGAATGGCCTTATGGCCTTATGTTCAGTGAAAAGCTTGATATCAAAGATGCACATGAAAGATTTGAACAAAATTGGTTCATGGAAACATTAAAAAGGCTCCTGCTGTTAATAATAAATGAACAAATC